AAACAAAGAAAAAAAAAAAAGGGGGGGGGGGGGTGGACCATTTTGGTGATAAGAGAAGACATGTAAGAGACATTAATGGGTAGTGGGGTTGAATTGAATAAAGAATATAGGCCGTTGTAAGTGCACGTGAGGGAGGATAAGGCTTGTCATTTTGGCTCATAACATTGTGTTTGGGGGAAAGAGGGAATGTCTGTTTCTTGGATTAAGATGGCTAACTATGTGTTAGTCCATACTCCATATGGCAGACAACATATTCTAATTTTTAGTTATATACTATTTATATAATATCGATACACTACATATATCAATATAGTTAGGAAAAACTATCTTATTAAATATATATCTATATCAGATATATTAATTTCACCTTTACTTTCAAATATACATATTTTACCATTGATTAAGAGTTTCATATCATATATTGAGAAAGATACATGTATTTTTGTTACCAGAGACACATTAAAATAGGAAGAGAGGCGAGCGAGATAGTCATGTATACTAGATACATGATGCGAACCATACTAGATACACACTATATGATGTATCTGTATATATATATCTAGTGTGATACACATGTATTTGGGATAACATATACATAGGAGAGTCCTGACGAGCAAGATGGGATGAAGGCGAGAGACGTGAGTGAGATTTATTATGTATTGTCAGATATATGCGAACCCATTTAGATATAGAGTATCTAGAACAAATTATACCTAATTGTGACTACATTTATCACGAGATACATGTATCGAGACATACCAAAATCTAGTACGATTCATAATAATGCAAATTAGAGTATATGTAAGTAATTAGCTTCTCAATTAATGAAATTTTTATAAATTTACATTTTATATATAAATATCAATAATTTTATTGATTTTTTTCCGATTACCTATACAAATACAATTATGTAAGAAGCCACTCTTGAATTGCTCTTCTTTGATATGTTCCTTTTAACTTTTAAGGGGCAATCGAAGAGCGGAGAGGAGGGATGGGCAATTAACAAAGTATGATTTTGTGTTTTTAAAAAAAAAAAAATCTTCTCTCTGTTCTAAATCTTTTGGGCTTAATTAACAAAAAAAAAAACTAACTTTTGGGCGGCTTTTATTTATATTGATTTTTCCTTCTTTTCTACTTGTTTGAATGATTGCTACATTATTTTATAATATTTTGTATTATATTATATTATTTCGATAAATAAAGTATTTAGATGTATTATATTGTTTTATAATCTATTTCATATTGACATATACCAATAGTTTAAAAAATATTTTGTAATTTTACCTGTTTCTGTTTAACTTGATTGATACATAAGAAATAATAAATAAAATAGTATCTTTATTATATTAATCCTAATAATTATAAGAAGTTATTTAAATGTTGGGAAATGAAAAATATTTAATACCAAGGATAAAATATCTTTAAAATAATAAGTTGATTTATTAAATTAACAAGTAAATACTATAACTACTAGTATGCTCCTGCGCACATCCATTACAATATCTTCACTTTCGCAACTTTCAACTTCTAAACGTGAAAGTATTTGACTGACTAGCACTCCGCTCCATATAACATTTTTTTAAGCCATCACCAGGGTTGTGAGTCCTTAGTGTGGGGGTTAGGCTTGACCCCGACCATGTCTATTCATACCCATACAATATAGTTGGTTTAACTACCACTCTCTAGAACTTGCCTTTAAGTTTTAGTGGAACCTTTTTAGCACAACTCTAGATGTGAGCCTTCATTTCATCCACCTGCATCAATACGGTGAGTGGCATTCTCGTCAATCTCACATTTCTTTGAATAATAGACACAAGATATTTGAAACTTCTTCTCTTCTGGATGACCCGTGTATATCAAGCCTCATTTCCTCACTGCTCGTTTGTTATGTTACTAAACTTGCATTCTCGGTGTTAGTCTTGGTCCTGCTCAACTTGAACCCTTTAGACTCCAAGGTGTGTCTCCAAAACTCCAGCTTAGCGTTGATTCTATCGCGAGTCTCATCAATTAGAACCATGTCATCCATAAATTAAATAACATATCCCATGGCACCTCACCATTAAATTTGTCGTTGCATCAATACATTTATCACCAAGGCAAATAAAAACAGACGAAGGGTTGATCCTTAATACAACCTCATCAGAACTTGGAAGTGCTTTAAATCTCCTCTCATTGTCCTTATCCGAATCTTTACTTCATAGCACATGCCATTGATCGCCTTAGTATATGTCACATATACACTTTTTGCCTTTAAGCACTTCCCTTGGGACTTCGTCATAAGTCTTTTCAAGGTCAATAATAAACACCACGTGCAAGTCTTTTTTTTTTTCATTCTCGATATTGTATTCTACTGATCTCCTTAGAAGATGAATGACTTTTACGATAACAAATAAAATAGAATTAGTAAATAAACAAGGAAAAACTAAAAGTAAAGCGATTACATCACATCGTATGGTATATAAAATGGCACTCCATTTTTAAATTGTGATATTAAGTTGATATACTAAAATGAGATTCAAATCTCATGTAGAGGCATAACTTTTAGAACCCTTGATGAGCCATCTCTCTACCTCTCTTTTCCACCATACTAATACATATATATATATTAATCAATCACTAATCATGTATTGGTATACCCAAATTACTTAATGACGATTATATGAATTCTTCATATTTTTTGTTCTATTCTATTTGGTTTTATTTAATTGTTAATCGTAATACTAACTACCCCAAAATCATAATTTAGTAGTGGAGACCTAAATGTCCTTTTCTAATCGTACATACTGTTACGTTTCTAATCAAACTAGAGATTATATTAATCATTATCACCAAATTGCATGATTAGAGTAGTTTAATATAATTAAATACCCCTTTCCAATAATTGTACAAGTTGACAATAAGAAAGAGAAAAACTCGAGAGTTATCCTGTTTTTGTACTAGTATAAGGTAACAAATATTTCGTAAAATTAATTGAGGTGTGTATGATTTTTCCCCAATATCACAACTATATAAGAAGGGGGAAACATTTTTTGTTCGTATATATAACTCAAAAAATTGACGATAAGGGTATATATAACCCAAAAGATTGACGGTAAGAGTATGAATAACCTTAAAGTATATAAGAGAGGGTATTGTCATACCATTTATGAAGTTCGGGGGTATATTTGTCATTTTTCATATTTTTTTATTTTAAGGAAAACACTTTCTAGACATGCTCTTGTAATATACTACCAAAAAATTAAAGGAATATATTAGTAGACTAATTGACAAAATTAATATATATTATATCTTGATTTGGACAAGGAAAAGAAAACAAAAAAAATGTTTGCATAATATTCTGCTTTGTTATGGAAAAAAAAGGTTTCTTCCTAATTTCTAGCTAATCAAGTACTTGGCTAACTAATCAATGATAATTAGTTCTCAACAAGAAAATCAAGCAGATTTAATTTTTAGCAATTATCATCTAGATTTTAGTTAAATAATTGTATCTTATTTGTACAAAAATCACACCAACAATTACAAAAGAAAGAGAATTTGTTGAAGATGGACCAATAATTAAAATGAACCTCTAGATTTATATTGGATTGTGACATCAATTACTTCAAAGAATTCATGAGTCTACATAAGATTGGAAATTTAACATTTGTTTACCTTGAAAAAAATATGATGTAATTTATATGTGCGATTTAAAGAATAAGAAATATTGCTTCGATCGAATAAGACAAAAATACTTAGCAAGTAATAAGTTTAGTTATTAAAAAATCGAATATGTTATTAGAGCAAATAAAAATTGGTCATATGTGTCTAGCAAAACAAAAAAAGTTGGACTGAAAAACTTTATTGCTAGTCTGGTACCTTTGACTACTCTGCTCCCTCCAAAAAAAAGATGGGGCGGAATTTCTTCAGCTTTTTCTCTGCGAATAGTGAAGAAGTAAAGAAAATTTTAATTGGTTCTAACCAACGGAAAGTATGGAAGAAGAAAAGCAAGAATTTACACAAAAAAAAAATTCTAAGAAAGAGATCATAATAATTGTTGGCTCTTTGCGAAATGGAATTGACGTATATCAATTTAAGTCAGATTAACAAATTTATTATCTTTAAACAAACTTGGTTGACGAACATAGTTTATGCCGGCTTGTTGAGGATTTGAAGTCTCAACATTATCAAAGCTAACAAAAAAAATGAAGCAAAAGTTAAAGAATTGGAAAGGAAGTATACTTGTACTCAAAATCTTCAATCAAAATTCAGAACTAATAGTATTGTCTTTGATTGAACCTATTCAATGTATACAAGAGGCCTCAAGGACCTAAATTTAGTATACAAAATTCTCAAAAAAAAAAATAATCTAACATACACTATTTCTTTGTACTATATATGGACAATTGATAAGTACCCTATAAGCCCATAAGCCAATTTTGTTGAATGAATTAATTTCAATCATTCCAACAAAGAAGCATAACTACACATCTCCTAATTATGTAAAGCTTAGCTCTTTGTTCTCTAAGGACTCTTCCAAGTCCTCTACTTGAAATCAACTTCTTCTTGGAACTTCCCATTCTGTTGTTGTTGTTGGTGGTGCTCATCTTCATCTTGTAACTTGATTCGTCGCGACGAAAAAAGTTTTTATAAAAAAAAATTGGTTGTTTGCAGGAGTTTTTTTGTATACAACAAGGCAAAGTGATGGATGTGTTCTAGCTATTGTTGTTGGGCAGTGAATATATTGAAGAAACAAGTTTGAATGGGGAAAATGTAAGTCCAAGATGAGGCTCTTATAGGCTTGTTTAGAGTGTGGTCCTAATTTAAAGAAAATGACATAAAATGGTCCATTATTTTTAGTAGAGGTTCAAAGTAAACCCTTAAGTATTACTTGAGTAGTTTTGTGTCCTTTAAAGTTTGTCAAAAATAAGACTTTTCGGCTTTGTTAGATATTTGTTTACTAGATTGTGATTTTTAAAAAATAACTAGAATTGAGAAAATATTTAACAAGGAGGTCAAACTTGAAAGTATAATTTTTCTAGTTTATGCTAGTTTTGGCCTTTTTGAGGTGCAGTTTCTATTGGTTTGTTTTTGTTTGGTGCATACTTTTATTATGTTGCGAAATATGAGATTACGACGAATTTTTTTAGTGTTCTAGTAAAATCTTTTTTCATGTCTCAAATCGATTTTGACAATTAGAGTTGGGTAAAGTTGATCAGATAAAGATTAAAAGTTCTCATTTTTGATAAATTTAAAGGACTAAAATTGCTCGAATAATACTTAAAAGACTATTTTGAACATACTACTAAAGCTAAGGGGTCATTTTCTCTCCCAACTTGTATTGATTGAGTCATGAACCAAATATGGGTCCCACTTTCCACTTGTAACCTATCCCCCCATCCCACCCACCCCACCC